TCCTGCTGACCGAATGATTTTATTGCTGTAATACCAGAGTCTGCGTGAAAAAATCCTCTCAAGAACGCTTTGCACTGAAAATTCTTCTCGATCGTCCAAAAGCTAGAAATGAGGTACGGTTCCTGCTCGCACTGTCTGCCTGCCGACACGCTGCAAAGTCTGCCCTGGTTTCAGGGGGGTGTAAAGCTTTAAAACTTTGCTATGCAAATCCCACCACGCAAGATTCCTTGCATTTGATCCGAGATTTGCTGCTCGAGGTGGAGGGTGGAAGGAGATGAGGGCCCTTTTCACCGTGCATGTGCTGAAGGGGGCTGCGGGGTACGTGGAAGTGTGATTTATAGAGCTGTGTTTGAGCCTGGAGTTCTCCCTGCGCCCTGCGGAATGGACCCTGAATTGTTTAGAACTAATTTTGTTCGTGCCCGTGTCACTTTCGTATGCCATTGCTGTAGGAATTGCTGCGGATGCTTCAGTTACAGGGTCTGTATGAGAAACTAGATGAGCGCTGTGACACCGTGTGTGACGTGTCACCATGGCTGGTGTATGCCAGCGTAACCTCGCTTCCTAAACTCAATCTGTTTAAAATGGTATGCAGTTGTCAGAGCTGCTGTAAAGCAAGAGAAATATTCATTGTTTTCAAGGTTTAGGCAACTTCCATTTCCTGTTACTGAGTGAATTTGCATTTAAAATTCTCAGGGAAGAAAATCTCTGTATACCAGTTGAGGTGGCTTTAAACAGAGTGAAATTCCTTAGGTTCCTGTTTCAAAAAGCCTGAAGAGGAGATGAGTTTTTTTACTTATTGTGAGCAACTAATCCATCTGGCCGTAGAAGGAAACAGGCTATGGAACTTCAGCTTTTATTCATAGTTTTCCAGACATGCACCAGTTTAAAAGATATCTTATTGCCACTTCAGTACAAATTCTAGCTTTAGATTTTTAACAACAACAAAAAACCCTGAAGATTGGGTGTTTTCTGGAACCCTGCTGGGTTTGATTCCACGATCTGTAGCAAACAGGTTGGCGAGGGATGATCTTTATGCCTTTGCAGGCCGAGTGACGTAACGGCTGTTGGTTACTCACGTAAATGCTTTCAGGCATCGAGTTTTTTAAAATAATTGGAGTCTGTTTTAACGTGTGACTCAGCGAGCAGCGCCCGGGCTCCTGCGTGCTGGGGTCTGGGGGCACAGGGGCAGCAGAGCGGGGCAGGCGCTCAGCGCTGTGTACAGTAACGTTTCTTCCCTTCTCTTTAAGGTACGTCTGCACATGATGTGTGCAACACATCCAAATATTGTTCAAATTATTGAAGTTTATGCTAACAGTGTGCAGTTCCCACATGAATCCAGCCCAAGGTAAGATTGCATAGGGTGATTCATCCCCACAGCTTGCTTTCCATGTTTAGGCCAAGGTATAGTGGAGTTTGCTTTTTTTTATTATTATTTTTTTAATCGCAGTGTGACCAAAGCGAATGGGTATTTGAGAGTTTCAGACATGGCATCTATACTTCAAACTAAGCAATGCTTGCCCAGACCTCTGCATAGTGAAATGAATTTGCTTCCTTTGGTATTTGTTTTGAGCACTTCATTTCCGAGGGTTTTCATGGAAAAGAGCAATAATTTGGGATACTGGCATTGTCTGAGAGGACAAAATAACTTCTGTTCTGCTTAAATATTGCTTTAATAGCCTGAGTTGATTTTTTTTTTTTTTTTTGTAATATTTGAGCATCTTTCTCCTTTCAAAGCACCACTAAAGCAGAATTAGAGCTGGAGCTTTCATTGCTACCCAGAATAAGTGAGGTCCCTTTTCACAATGGTGGTGACTTAGATCGCCAGTATTAATTAAAAAGGGAGATGGGAGGGGAGAAGGCAAGAACAGCTTCTAAAGCTGCTATCCTGTAATGTCAACACACTGCCCTGGCTAAAATGAATACAGCTAAACAAGAGCCAGACCAATTATTTTGCATATTGTAATATGATCAAATGTTGTCTTCTAATTGGATGAATTAAAGAACTGAGACCTCTGTTAGCCTCTGAGGTATCTGATTTTGCTGTGTGCTGAGAATTAGAGGTCATTTTGTGGAGAGCCCCTCGGTCCTGCTCTCAACACTTCAGGACGTTGGCAGTAAAACTTTTAGTGAAGCCAGGAGGTGCCATGGAGAATCCTGATGCAAAAGCATTAAAGGCAGCTCTCCACCTCCTGCTGCAATTGCCACGAGTGTCTCTAGCTGAGGAAGGCAGCTGAGCACATGGGCACGTCTGGAAGGATGGGTGCAGGCAGGTATGTGTTGTGCTGTAAAGCAGCTCATGTTTGGAAGGGTTTTAGCCTGCTTGCTGCTGGTCTGCACCCTCTCTGAGGGTGCAATTACATGTTGAGGTGTCTGAGCGGCTCCCGGGCTCGAGCTGGCTTGTCCGTGAGGAGCTTGCAGGTATCTGGCTGAATCCATCCATGAAGACGTGTCCATGGCCTGTATTCCCGCTGGAAGTGGGAGCCCAGCTTGAAGAGCAAACAAGCTTCCTGGCTGGAATCATGTGTCAGATTGTGCTGGGAGGCGGAAAATCCTGCAGCTTACACAATTAAAGGCAAAATTATTGAAGCAAAGTGGCTAGAACAACTGTAGAAGAAGCAACTATTTTTCTCTCTTTTGGCCTGTATCGATAGATATGAAGTATGCATTATTAGCTTAGCAATTCTGTTATTCTTTGATTATTTTTAATGTAACGAAATGCTTTTAAACAGGGCACGGCTTCTAATTGTAATGGAGATGATGGAAGGGGGAGAGCTATTTCACAGAATCAGCCAGCACCGGCACTTTACTGAGAAGCAAGCAAGCCAAGTAACAAAGCAGGCAAGTTAATTCCCATGTATAAGCAAATCCATGAATGATAATGGCTAAAGTATTTAACAATTTTATGGGGTGGGGGGAGGGAAAAAAGGAAGCTAAAATAATCCTCAGTTCTGATCTGATGATCATTGCCTGCTTTGTTATAACCTGACAATGCCAAAGCTTTGATAGAAACAAAGAATTGGAAGGTGTGGGCTGGGGCGCTGGGGTCTGACGTTGTGGGCTGTGGTTTTCCTGCTGGGGTCTGCAGAGCACTCGACCCCAGCGAGCTCTCTTCTTCCCCAGTTTTTCTGCTGTTTCCTCACCTCTGTTCTCAGTGTTTGGTCCTTTAGTCCCCCCGCAATCGTGGCTCCTGTCTGAGAGTGGCTCTTGGCCATGGGGCAGACAGAGTTTCTCTTTCCTCTGGGGTGGGGAAGCTCTTGATAATGCTCATGTGTCTCGAGACAGTGCTTCTCAGCCTGGGTTCTGTATCTTATTTTGTGCGAGTCCTGCCTATCATGGAAGACCCAAAAAACGATGTCCCAGCATAGTTCATATTTTCTGTGCTGTTTGTTCTGGTGTCGTTTCTCCCTCCCTTTCTTCTAGGTACCTAGAGCTCACTCTTAAATGTTGTGTTTTAATACCTCACTGGTATTCATTACTAGAGATTTTGGTGTCCATCAGACTCTCTTCCTAGCAGTGCATCCGCTGCCCGTGGCTTCTCCCCTGCTGAAATAGGCAGGGTGACGGAGCTGAAGGGGCTCCATGGGATTTGACACAGGGATCCCCAGTGTCACTTCTTGGCTGTGGGGTGGATGTGCTGCCTTCCACTTCCCGGCTCCTGGATGAGGTGTGGAGCCCAGGACAAGCTCACACTGCTGGGAAGGTTTGGGAAAGGCAGCACGGCTGCGTGTCGTGATGCCTGTGCTGGGCAGCTGCACTGGAGCACCCGCAGGCTCCCGGGAGGAATTTCGAGGCAGAGAGCACCATGGCATGAAGTCGAGAGCCAGAGTCACCCTCGTTTGCTCCTCGTGGAGGTTGTAGTGACGTTGCAAACAGGAGATGCATGAACTGTGGGTGAGAGACTCAGCAGAGGCGCCAGGCAGCAGCCGTCCTGCTCCCACACCGGTGATCACTGCAGCAAACAGGAACGAAAACATGAGACGGGATAGTCCATAAATTGACATGAGTGTTTAAGAATATATCACTATCCGGATTGTTCCTTCTGTGCAAGGGAGATGATGTTTGGTCCCAAGCAAAATGAGGGCCAAATCATTTCACCTTAATTTTCTGCCTCATGCTTTGACTTGTTTCTAATGAAGTGCTAATTGTGCAGCTACCTTTTGGGCTTCAGTCAGCAAATAAATTTGAGAGAGGAGCAGGATTATTCTTGATGGTTTCTTTTCATGGCCTTTTGGGTGGTTTGGTTTTGACAGTGCAAGGGGATCTCCAGGATTAATGTGTCACCAAAAAATAGAAATAAAAGCCAAAGACAAGAATTTGAATTGAATTCCGACCTTGCATATGGCTTGCAAGCTGTATCCGTGTCCCAAGTACCTCTTTGCTTTAATGTCCCCAGTCCCAGCTAAAGCTTTGACTCAAAGCTCTCTGGTGTTTTCTGAGAATGGGTTTGTGCTGGTTTCTGAGCTAAGTTAATGCTGAAGATCTCTCATCAGGATCATCTGTAGTCTTTTAAGGTCTCGGTGCTTCACCCTCCTTATTTGGTGCAAGCCAATTGGAGCACTTCCCAAAAAGGCTAATGTGGCTTCATCTTTTGTTTCAGTAGTGCTGTTTAAGTATTTATGCTTCTGTTTTCTGTAAATGGTTTGCATTTGTGAAAGTGCAGCCTGTAGAGCTTTGATGACAAGATTTCAGGTTTTCAAATGACAGCAGTGTAAGACACTGTCTTTGGGGAAAAGTAAAGCAGGTAATACATTTCTGTGCAGTATCACACAAAATGAGTAAATTGCAGGCAGTCCCTTGAAGAATTAACGAATAAAGCTGCCTGAATGTTGACTCTTAAGCAAGTAACAAATGCGCTAACGTATTTACCAAAGTCTTGAAGCAAGAACTCATTGTTGACTGTTGAACAGAATGCGATTTCTGGGAATGGGGCAAGTAAGTTTAGTGACCTTGCAGACCTGGTGCAGCCTATAAAAGGAACCGTCGTGATCGGTGTCACTCCAGGGGCTTGCAATGTCCTGAGTTAGTCAAACTAAAGTGATTGGGAAGCATAATACAACTTTTCTGTTTGCTCTGAGTGAAATGCAGCTCAATAGTTGGGTCGGTTCCAGTTCCCAGTGTTCACGCTTTGCTGCCCTGTTGCTCAGTATAGCCAGGGATGTCTTAACTCAGGATCGTATCCAAGTGGAACAGAAATGTTTGGGACTTAAGCTATGTTGTCAGTGTCCTTTTTAAAGCTAAAATAACTGTCCAGGTGAAAGGAGGAGTTCTACAATTGTAGTTGATTTATTGTGCCCTTTTTCAGATAGCTTTGGCTTTGCAGCATTGCCACTCACTAAACATTGCACATAGAGACCTCAAGCCTGAGAACCTTCTCTTCAAGGATAACTCTCTGGTAAGGTGAAGACTTGGTAAACTCTGCTTGTTACTGAATTCTGTAACGTAGCTCTGTGATATTCAGAATAGCTGAAAAATGTCGAGTGGCACCAGCGCAATGTTTTGGTGACAAAAATAAATGACCTTTGGACTTCTCTATACTCTGATCTGCTTGGAGTAGAGCACGTCCATGCCACAGATGCTGAATGTGGGCCAGGTTCTCCATCTGCACATGGAATCCTGCTTTGCAGAGGAGAGACCCCTCCCTGCCCCACTTCTGACCCACTTGTCATCAGCGTGTGTTAAGCAGGCAGTATAGGTGATTTGACCTAATATCCATAACTTGTGGCCTGCTTCTTTCTTCCCTTGCTCATAACCACCCTGCATATGCAATGACCTCCCTTCAGTGCATTTAGAGCTCTCCAAAGCTGCAACAGGGGCTGTTCTGAACCACAGCACCCAGGAGAGCAAAACCGTTGTTGCAAAGGTCATTTCTGACCTCACTAGCTGCTTTGTGGAATGATGAGGGTGTAAATACACAAGAGGAGTGTGAAGTAAAGGCAAGGTGAATAAGAGGGCAGTAAGGATGTAACAGAAAAGCAGATGCAATGAGATTTCCTAATGAAACCTCCCCTCTCTGTTTTAGGATGCACCTGTTAAATTATGTGACTTTGGATTTGCCAAAATAGACCAAGGTGACTTGATGACACCACAGTTCACTCCGTATTATGTAGCACCTCAGGTAAAGAGTAATTTCTCTTTTAGATTTTAGAGCAGTAATGATCATATTGCCTGTGCCTGCAAAAGCATCTCATTTGGAAAGTGCCTGCTGTATTCTTAGGGGGTTGTGATGCAGGAGTCTCGAGTAAGTGAACAGCATAGGGTAGCTGCCTTTCAACATCAAGTGCCACTGTGATCGACTGATCACATCAGGGTTTTTGCAAAGCAAAAATCCTAGTGTTTCTAGTGTTCACTTGCTGCTGCTGCCTCCTGACTCTCTCCAGTGAGAGTCCTCCAGGATTTTGAGAGCTGCTGTGTGGCTATGTTAAGCGGGTTGGTTTGTAGAAGTCCCTGCCTCCCAATCCTTCCAGCTCAGGCTCGTATGAGATTACCCTCAGCAGGACTGTGCTGAAACAGTGAGGTTCTGTGAAGGCAATTGCTCACGAAGGGGGCACTGCCAGGGGGTCACCCATTTACCTTGACCTGGCCCCCTTGTCAGTTTGCGTTAAGACATAATCTATAATTACAGACAGACAGGCTGGTTTCTGTAGTGCTGCTTTCCCTGCTCTTTCCTTTGTTCTTTGTGTTCGAGTCCTGAAGAAAGCTTAAGAAAATAACAGAGACCACCGTTTAATTGTGGTCCTGGGCACTCTGGCAGCCTTTTATTACCGGCAAGAGCAATTGCAGACGTCAGACCTTGCAGCTGCAGGCAAGTTTGACCCATGCAGAGGCACTCAATCCATGGAAGTCTGCAGTGCAGGCAGGTTTTTTTAAAGCAAATGAACTGCCACACTTTTGTTTTTTATTCTCTGAGTATATTTAAGCAGAGTTTTTTCGTGTAGAAATTTGCTACAGATTTGAGCAGGTTTTCTTGGGAAGGATAAAAAGGGACATATCTGGAGCTGGGGTTACCCTCCAAGCACATTTTAAATTCTAATTCTTCAGCATGGAGCACTCGGAGCTTTTCTAGAAAACAAGTGCGAGCAATTGCTTTAATTCAGGCAAAAGTAGAGTTCATCCAAAGCAGTTAAATATTGTAGCCAAAATTTTTCCTCTGCGTAAAATGTTCGTCTCTCAGAAAGAGAGAACAGTTTCAGTTTGGCAGAGTCTTCAGTAGCTGAAATAATTGTACCTTATTGTAGAGCATCAGCACCTTTGGTATAGACCCTGCTGTTGTGCCTAGATGTATTTTGCAATTTTCTTAGGATTCTTCTTTTTTCCTTCTTGTGGTAATAGGTATTGGAGGCACAGAGACGGCATCAGAAAGAAAAGTCTGGTATTATCCCCACCTCTCCAACTCCTTACACTTATAACAAGGTAAGCTATGAACTAGTCCACACGCCGACATATTTTAAGTAAAGTGTCTTCACTACCACTCCCCGTGTCCCCTCAGTGTATATGCCATAGAAGTAGTCTATAGACACAGCTTAATGCCTAAAGCAATAAGCTTTTATTGCCTTAAAATCACACACTTGCAGCCAGGAGCAATAAAGTTGTTTTAATTTCATTGTTCAGAGATGCATCTAACTATCCAAATACCTCCTGCTGAGTAAGAAGCAGGATCTACAAGAAACCATGGGGAAATGTGTCCCTTTACTCGCTGTTATATATGCACGTGTGTTTTCAGCAAGAAGGAAATAATAACTTTGGCATTGTATTTCTCATAAGCAAATTTCATTCTGCTACTGTAAAGGTGTTGGAGAAATGCAGCGTATACCTGGTTAGACTCTCATTAAGTTTGTTAGGATCAGACCAGTTTTGTTCAATTGACTTGAATCGGAAGCCTCTGATCTCTGCAGATAGTTTTCTCAGGCAGTTTAGAAGAAAATATGCCAAATGGTGCTGCTGTCTC